TTAATAATAATAAATGTTTTCTATGTAAATCAGATGTCTGGGACCCCGCGATACAGGCTTGCCTAGTGTGGGGACAGCGGTAAACATAAAATTGTACCTATCAATCTGTGAAATAAATGTTATTATTATTATTATAATTCTGTACCAATGCATAAATACAAAAAGCTCACACTATTTGAAAACCTTTGAAAAATTTCTTTCTAATATCAATCTTGAGGTTGGAAATGCATAGCGATGGTCAGATTAATATTATAAAATTTTCGCTTTTTTAATATACTCTCAAATTATATTTTTTCCTGCACAAATTCACTTTTTATACTATATACTATTTGAGCATTTATAAATGCAAAATAATAAATTCTCAAATGACGTTCCCGGATATTCCCATAAGAAATAAAATATTCCCAAATAGAATATTGATTTTAATTAAACGTTTCCAAGTCGATAATGACTTTTCGATAGATTATGGTCCAACACTAAAGCCAATTTTTGAATAAGCATGTAAAAGAACCAATTTCACCATTCGCGTTATCGGTCCGTTATTGTCTATGGGATCCGAAGCCCAAAACGAAAGCGTTGTGGCTAACGGACTGCGGACAGCTCACGGATCGTTTTGATTTCGTACGCAGCTGCGGTTGTATATTTTGAGAGTAGGCCTTCAGGTCGTATTTTGCATATTACATTGTATATTGTATCATACTCGAACAAATATGGTTATTGAAATGTATCATTTTTACAAACTGTTACATAGAATTTGTTATACCTTTTCACAATAAATTTAAGTATTATAGTTAAAGTTGTTATTGTTGAGAAATTTAAATTACAGATGACATTTTTTTTTAAATTTATTAAGGCTTTGGCAAAGCTATCAGCCTAAGCATGAAGTTTAATTAGGTTTATGTAAATATGGCCGCCACAAAGAGGATAGGCAATTTGAGGCGGCGTGCTTGGATTGACTCGGGATTCCTTAAAACGAGCCGATACGAGTATTTTAGTTCGAGATGCATATAATTTCGCATTTTAATCTTCGATTAAGGCACAATACACTATGCTATTCCACTTTAAACTAGATTTTACAAAATAATTGAAAGTCAAAATTAAAACGACACTTTTCCCTCCAAAAGACCCAGAGCCGAAAAGCAGATGACATTTTACTTTTATATCGGTGTTGCCAATTAATATTTCTTAATGCCATAGACTGTATCGTAACTATAGGCTTCTCTTGTTAATCTGCCATCTGTTGTCATCTTTTGGTATTATTGTTGGTCATAGCCAATACCGCAAAAACAGCTATTCCTCGATGGTGTTTGGCGCTTTTGGCGGGAAGAAATTTGTACAAATAAGCGCAGAATCTTTTGTATCGCTTCTTTTTACTTTTGTACTCTGATTGCAGAAATAAACCATCACAAGCGAATTACATTTTATTTAATAATACATAGAAAAAGTGTTTTGTCGCCCCTAATTCAATTTGGAGGCGAAACTAAACCGTACCAAACTCAACCGAGTTCATTTGAATAGTAGTAGATGAGTAGTAGCAAAAAAATAAATACGTTCTATGATATGCTCAATTTGGTGGGTATAAAATAAATCTGTTATAGCTATTCGGAAGCGGTCGGATGACTTCGTGTGCGAACGTACGTTCGTGCACTTATCTTTATCACTCTCTCAGCCCGACTAAGTTTTTACCTAACTTACTAAATTTAGTCAGGTTGCCAAAAACTAACTATCGCTATTCGGAAGGTTCGGGCGACTTCGGCTTGATTCGCTCGCTCGGTCAATTATATTTCCTTTTAGTGTATAAGTTACCACGATTTTAGAAATTCATTATGTTTTACGTTTATTTACAGATATTTGTCATCGGGATGTTCTTTTAAAGAACTACATTATCATTGTAGAGTGGGAATATCAACCATCAGCAAAATAATCAAAGCAACGTGTTCTGTTATTTGGAGCGTATTAGTTGCAGAATTTATAAGTATAATATAAGTTGCCTAATACCGGAGAAGAATGGAAGGCGATCGTCAACTCTTTTCAAACAAAAGCAAATTTTCCGCATTGTCTGGACGCACTAGACGGCAAACATATAAGGATTAGAAAACCGATCAGAATCGGTTGTATGTTCTTTAATTATAAGGATATTTTTTCTTTTATTCTATTTGCAGTAGTTGATTCAGATTATCGTTTCATTTACGTTAGTATTGGTTCTTACGGAAAAGAGTGTGAGAGATTCATCTATCTTGAAAGAATCTAATTTTTGGAAGAAATTAAATGATGGTTCTTTTAATATACCAAGGCCCGCACCACTTCACGAAACTATGCAAGAAGAAGTGTCATTTTGTTTGTTGGAGATTAAGCCTTTACACTGTGACAAAATTTATAGCGACCTTATGGATTGTCTAAATGGGTACCCCATTGCCTTCGGACAACACCAATCGCAACGTGGCTTACACCTCGCGCTTTTTCTGTTGCTCAATTATTGTATGCGTGTGTCTTACTAGTAGCGCCACGTAGCGATTATGAGCTACAAGAACTGCAAAAGGTCTCTTCTTCGCTAGATTATATTTGGCGCGAAATGTATGATTACACGGAGTCGAGAGGAATATAATTGCATTCTAAGTAGATGAATTAAGAGCTTAAATTTATATAAGGGTATCCAGCCTTGTCCTATTCATTTTTTTTAATACAATTTTTATAGAACTTTTTTGACTAATAGATAATTAAGATTATCCAACTTCTTTTTGAAAAATACATAATTGATCTCAAATCGACATGCCTACTTCATTCATGCCTAGTTTAAGAAACCGTTATCGGTATACCTCAATGCGGTATACGAAGTAGCTTTCTTTTCGGTATTGTCAAAACCTGCTACGACCAGAGATGGGCGGGTTGAGTGTGTTAAAACCCAATCAACCCGCCCGTGTTTTCACCAGGGTTTTACCCGAAGCGCCGAGTTTTAACCCATTACACACTAACAACAAAATACACAATAACTTGTAACAAATTTCCATATTTTTATTACACGAAGAGGCATCTCCACATTAGGCCAATCAATCCTGTCAATCCTGTGGATTCTCAATGAAGATCGATTCAAGTGCGATCCAATAATTTGTATTTGTATCAGTTTATTGATGAACTTTTCAAGCGAATCTATTCAATAGAAAGGTAAATCGAACTGTCCTGATAATAAAGCAACTAATATTTTGTAATAATATGTATAATTAAATTTGAACAAAACTTTTTTCAAACAAGTTTTTTTCTTAATTTTAGGCTTTAACCAGATTTAAACCCGGCGTAAACAAAGCACCGGGTTAAAACCCGAGCGCTTGCCCATCTCTGGCTACGACCCAACGCTACTGCAAAGCGAACAGAGGGCGCGCGGTACGAGAGGGGAGGGCAGGGAGCAGAATACGTGCGGACAGCGACAAATAAAACGACGACAATAGGAGCTGCGACAATCTGTCGTCACGTTTTTATCGTGACGTTTTCTGATCGTCCGACGCCTGTCGTTCTAGCTGTTCCCACTGTGACGACAGTTTGTCGTTGTAACGATAAAAAATCGTGAACGACAGTTAATCGTGTCGTGATATATCTGAACAACTTCATTTAAATATACAAGTCACGACACTGTAAACTGTACGACAATCTGTCGTCACGACATAGTGGGAACGCGCCCTAACGTGACAAAAGTTTAAATAAAAAACGGTCTTTAATTTTTATGGAAATGACATGGTTTTTTTATTATTTCATTGAGAATCTTCTGTTCCTTTGTAATGTACGAAGAAACAAAAGTTTTGCATTGAGGATTTTTGAAAATTTACCGTATATAAAGCCACAATTTTTTACCATATTTGCACCTTGTTTATGTAAATCATAGGAGGAATTTAAGTGATTTAAGGTTTTCATTTGATGACACTTATGAAAAAATGTGCTTAACCATTTAAAAAATAAAAAAGGACATAATTTACATTTCATTTTTTATGACTCGGGAACAAAAAATTGCTGCGTTTCGCGAATTGACCCTGTCTCTGCAAACAGGAATTTCGCGTATGCGCCCGCGTTCCCACCCCCGACCTGTGGTGTGTTTTTCGCCGCCGTGCCGCCGCCCGCCGCTGCGTCGGAGCAACTAATGTTGTTCAATTCATTTATTCAAAAAAAAAAATTTCAAAAAGATTTTTTTCATGGTTCAGAATCAGGAATATAACGCACTTTATAAATATGTCTCATTTTCAAATATACAGCCTGTATATTATAGCAATGGCTATTTATCTATAGTTGTCCTAATCGTATTAATTGCAAAACAATTAAAATCTATCTATGATTTGAAGGTCGAGAACGGGGAAAGTTGTTTGCAATGAATGAAATATATATAATAATAGCTTATAATAATAAAAAAAAAGCTAATAAATAATAGCTTAAGACATAGTTCTCATTGCAGAATGAACCTGAATGGCTATGCTAGTAACTCGGGCAAGATTGCTAAGGGCTGTTGGCCTTCTTATTTGGTTCGGGAATTGATATCGGAAACGATATTTTTAAGTAATTAAATAACATTATTTGCAAAGTTTTGCAAGACATCCGGAACAGTCGAAGATGACCTACGTAACCGTAATACTATAACATATACATGAACGTCGAATGTACCTATCTATTCTCTGGTTGCTATCCGTGCAATTGTCATTTCCGTGTATTCCGAAGCCAATAATTATAAACTTGTCATCTGTTGTCTCAAATCACTGCACGAACACCATGATATGAAAATGTCCATATAAATAGGAACTGCTTTTGTCGTCCCAGACTACATATAACTGTAAACACGCGTATCTGCTGTGTGGCTTGACAAAAATTTGGACAATTTCGTTGCTTCAGTAGTCTCTTATACTCTCTGCTATCAGTATATTTCGCAGTACGGATTTTATTGACTGTCATATCTCTACAATTTTTCAGAAACTTCATTGCGTGTCCTGAAAACTTTCATTTGACTGTAACGTGTTAATATAAGAATGATGGTATGGCTTTTATTACTATTGGCGTTAATATTGAGGTTTCTGACCTACAAGATCAGTAGGCGAAAAATGTACAAACTGACCTCGCTCGTTTCGGCTCCGCTAGAAGAACTCCCTATTATCGGGGTCGCACATACTATGCATGGAAGTTCAGTGGGTAAGTTTAATTTCTTTAGTTGTTGATTGTTAACGTACTTATAAAAAAGGGATGATTTTAATTTAAAAACCTTCATTGTTCATGTTCAGTTTAATATAATAATATGGGGGAGGGGGACATTAATTTGGATATAATGGGGAATAACAATTGTAACTCAGATTATTATACACGTGCTGGCTACTCATGATCTACTACCGGCGCAGAACTTTCTCATCTTAACACCACCTGCCTAGATATTTTATTTATGTAGTCCAAATAACCCATAACCATATTGATAATTTGAGATACACTTGAAGATATCGAATTGCAACATCTAATTTTTCTATTTTAGCCAGCGGACGGACTTTATACGCAACAGTCTTTTCTCAAGCAACATGTCATACTTAGTGCTTATATACCATTCGCATATGTGTACTGTACTTATTGTAAGGCTTTTTTGGAACAATAAATTATTATTATTATGGTTTTCTTTTGTGACTAGGTGTTTGTTTGCTAATTATTATTATTATTATTGACATTAATCTATATTTTCAGACAGAATGGAGACACTTAAACAATTTAGTTACTACTCCTTTGAATCACATGGAATTATTCGAATGTGGTTGTTTCATATACTGTATTTTGGTAAGTTGAAGTTGCTTTTTTTTATATTACCGAACGAACAAATCCGCCCGACACCCTGAGACATAAGTTAACAAGTCCCTTGTGCCTGTAATTTCACCAGCACCTTTACCCTGCGAAACCGGACCGCAGTAAAGCTCACATTACTACTTAGCGGAAGTACTAGGTAAGGTGAATATTATACTACTAATAAATAATATCATAACTGCTGTATATTAATAATTGACGCCACTAGTCATATTGTTGTCTTATAAACGTCCAAAAATGTCTTGTTATAAACCCTTTTTTCTACTCCCGTACTTTAAATCTATCAATTACAATTTCATAAGCCCAATGGTCTTATTATACCTATGTAAATGTGTAGTATTTTATGAGTTCTTAAATTGTACGTATGTCTACGGCCTGGTATATTAATAAGCAGTAGTAAGCCAACTTTACGAAATCGGAAATCTACCAACACAGACATCAAAAAGCAATCTCGAAGAAGTGAGATATGTAAGCCTCAGCCTGTGGTCCCTTAGGAAGACTTCTAGATGTTGAACTACCAGGCGAAGACCGGCTAGGGCATAGTTCCCAAACATTTTGGCGATTCTAGAAACTGCAATGTTTTTGTTACTTGAAGCGTCTAATCAAATTTATTTAGTATTTTATTTTTTATTTTGTTTTTAGTGCTAACGAACCCAGTGGACATAGAAATGATACTGAAGAATTGCCTTGAGAAAGACGATCTACATCGGTTCGTACGTAATGTAATTGGCAATGGAGGAATTTTTGCGCCAGGTACATAAATAATAATAATAGGGGTTAAAGTATGAAATTGCCGATTTGTACTGAAAATCTAAATTGTTTATTTTTTAAATTTTTAACAAATTTATTTAATCAAAATAGTTACCATTATTATCTATACATTGCTGCCATCTAATGGGAAGGTTATTAATGCCTTCGCGATAGAACTCCGACGATCTAGACTGCACAAACTGTGTGAAAGCATTTTGTGCTGCCTCCTGGGAAGAAAACTTCTTGTCACGTAGATAATTGTCCAAATCACGAAAAAAATGGTAGTCCGTTGGAGCAAGGTCTGGTGAATACGGAGGATGACGAATGGTTTCTAACTGCAGTTCCTGAAGGGTCAAAATGGTTTCTCGTGCTGTGTGAGGTCTCGCGTTGTCGTGGAGCAATAATGGTGAAGATCGATTCATGAGTCGGGGCTGTTTTACTGCTAGTTTTGTCAATATGGTTCGGAGTTCGGTACAATAGACATCTGCCGTTATTGCTTGACCAGATCGGAGAAAACTATAGTGAATAACACCATGCTGAGACCACCAAACAGTTACCATTACCTTTTTATTGGTAAGTTTTGCTTTAGGACACTGTTGTGGCATTTGACCTGGGGTCAGCCATTGCATTTTTCTTTTCCGGTTATCATAAAGAATCCACTTTTCATCACATGTTACAATTCGATCCAATATTCCTTCATTTCTGTACCGGTTCAACAAGGCAACACAAGTTTCAACACGCGTTTCTTTCTGCAGATCAGTCAAATCATGAGGCACCCATTTTTCGTATTTTTTTATTTTATTGATTTGACGCAAGTGAGTCAATATTGTGGGTAAGGTAACGTTAAACCATGCCGCTAATTCCTGGGTAGTTTGACTAGGATCGGCTTCCACTATCTCTCTTAATTCATCGTTATTCACCTGTGTGGGCGGTCTTCCTCGTGGCTCGTTCTTTAAGTCGAAATTTCCATCACGAAAGCGTTTAAACCAAAATCGCACGGTGCGTTCATTAGTAGACCCCTCTCCAAACGCAGCATTGATATTGCGGGCTGTTTCTGCCGCGTTAGTTCCGCGTCGGAACTCGTATTCAAAAATCACTCGAATTTTCGCAGTATCCATCTTTCTTGTCTAAATTGAATAACAAAAACAATTGAAAGTCGATATTCAAATGTTTCAAATTTCAAAAAAAAAAAATCACAGAAACCATTTGAAAAAAGTTTCATTCGAAAACCTCAAACCATGAAGATTCTATGAAAATTCAAAGAACCTATTGCAATAAAACGGCAATTTCATACTTTAACCCCTAATACTTAAGTAACACTGTTTCATTACCAATATTAAGTTTATTGAATATCACGATGTTTTACCATAATATTTAATTTTTTTTGGGAAATTATTCCACTTGTTTGTTATAATTATTAATGCAAAGATTGAATACTAAGAAAAAACTCTTCGATCCGGTTGGATTCGAACAAGCGGCATCAGCATACGGGGCCTGACGCTAAGACTTCTATTCAAAATTAAAAATTCAAAATAATCTTTATTTCATAGGTAAGCATTATTACACTTGAAATCGTCACAATGGTTAAACTCTACCGCTCATTCGTAAGGCAGATTCCCCTGAGAAGAATGAGCAAGAAACTCTAGGGGTTGCTCTTTGTAAATAACATTTGTACACATTCAACATTTACAATATATTTTTTTTGTTTTGAAACACCAGAGATCGAGACTACCTCCATGAGCTAAACGGGTTACTACCACGGATTTTTGCCATCCAAGTACGCAGAACTTGTATAACCTTTAGTATAAAGTTTTTGTTTCACTAGTTTTAAGCCTCGTGAAAGGCAAATTTTGTATATCAACCGGAATCTTGTTATAGAAACGTATACCCCTTAAATGATTTTTTGACTTTGTGAAGACGACTATCAGGAACAGCTAGTTTATTTTTATTCCTCGTATTAATGTTATGTCTGTCACTATTTTTCTTAAAGAAATTACCATTCCTTTTAACATAAATTACATTTTCATAAATGTACTGTGAGGCCAGTGTAAGAATGTTATTATTATCTCTCTCTCCCTCTTATCTCTCAAAGACATTCTGGGGCCCAGATTGTAAATTGCCCTAATCGCACGTTTTTGCAGGATAAAGATTCTATTGATATCGGCGGCATTACCCCAAAGCAAAATGCCGTATGTTAGAACATTAGACTGTTAAAGTAGCTGAAGTAAACCAATCTATCGGTTTCGTCTTCTTCTACGTCTAATCTTTGTATTACTAATTAAAATATTTTATTACATTTTCAGTTACTAAAACTGTAAGGTTCTTTAGTAGGCAATAAAGCTCAACTCACACTGGCGCAGAGTCGAAGCGTCGCGTCCCGTCCTGTTTTTCAAAAACAACGCTTGGCAACGCGCGACGATCTTCGCATTAGTGCGCGCGGATCACAGTGTGGTCGGCGTATGACGCCTAACTGCGCTCAAGTAACGCACGGCGACGCGCGAAGCCGCTCGGCTGCATCGAAGCGTCGTTTCCATATTTGCATAACACAAATTTGGACCTTAATAATGGGAAAATGGAGATGGATATACTATAGGCGAAATACATGACGCGTCGCGACGCTTCGACTCTGCGCCAGTATGAGTAGAGCCTAAAGCGCGCATTCGCATCGCACGTCGTCCGGCTTTGTAGTTGAAAAACAGGACGCGACGCGACGCTTCGACTCTGCGCCAGTGTGAGTTAAGCCTTAGTGTTTTATCAACTGTAGGTATTGGAAATAGATATGGGATCTAAATCGCGTTTAAACAAAATAAGTAAATCGACACTCAAGCTCTTTACACGTCTCATGGTCTGGTCACGACTGACTTTTTTTTTTATATTACCAAGTGACGGGACGAACAAGTCGTGCGGCTGATGGTAAGTTACACGCCTATCCATAACAGTTGCAATGCCACTCAGAGCTTTAAATCGCAAGGATCTGAGGGGCACTGCCACTGCGTCCGTCACCTTGAGACGTAAGTGGACAAATCCCATATACCTGTAATTTCACCAGCACCCTTCAACACTCTTCAAAAAATATTAATATACTATGCTATTTAGATCTGAAAATAAAATTTCCAATGTAAATGCAATTGCGAATACCTGAAAACTGTACTATAAACTGACTAAAAAAAATTGAAAATAAAAAACTTTATAATAGCACTCCATTAATACAACTCTACAGACCTTAATTCGTGACGTTGTAAAGGTTGTTGGTTTTTAGTTTAAATTATATCTCAAGAAGTGACCGGGCGAAATGACGCATATTGGGAGAGGCCGATGTCCAGCAGTGTTCAGCGATTGGCTGATGATTATGAAGAAGTGACTTTAAAATGTAGATTCTGTTCATCTATATTACAAAGGTTAACTAAGTCACTTAGCTTTACTTTTTCGCTGGCTAATTGAAAAATACAAAGAAATGACATAAAATCAAACCTCGTTTAGGAAAATTTCAACTTCTCCCAATCTATCAATGCCGAGGGGGATGAAGAGCCTTGTGGCGTGGGGACTTCCATCTAAGTTAAATAAGTAATGGTTGCTGAGACTTAGTTCTCCTACGATCCGCTTCGGAAGGCTAATGAGCATGAAAATCCTATGTAATGAGTATAGAGCCTATGGATATGGCGTATTTTATACGCGCCGTCAACACGCGTACGTATCGCGCATTTTGATAAAAGATTTTAATTTTAGTTTTGTTTGTTAATTTCGGTTTGTTTTTTGAATGTAGCAACTACCTACATAAAATTCTAAGCTTAAACTCCAATGGAATATCGATGACTTACTTTCTTAAACTCGTATCTTATGAAGAGTGATTATTCAGGAGATGGCAAAACATTATATTTATTGTAAATTGCTTATCATGGTATGAATTTAGATGCATTACTTTAAGAATAGGTAAAAACCATGTGTGAATGTGAAGGAAATGTGATGTGAAATCAGTTTGCAATTTTTTTTTTAACGCACACACTCAACATGGCCCCGCACTAGGGAAACCCTGTGTCGCAGGTGTCATGGACATACACATACACAACCACAAAATTACACCCAAACTCACGAGAGAAATAAATGTAGGCCATACTAATATTTCTCCCGACCCGGGAATCGAACCTGGAACCTCTGCGTGGCAGTCCGGCATGGTAACTGTTCGGCCACGGAGGCAGTTGATGATGAATTTGTATATACAATCCATTTTTTGCATTTCAGCAACTTTATACTATAAGATACGAGTTTGAGAAAGTAAGGTGACGAATATAAGCTTCTTGCTTGCAACGCGATGTCTGCACGTGTTTGAATCGATTTACTGCAGTGGGTCTGCGGCGCGTATACGCGCAGATGACGCGCGTTTTTGGCGCGTATAAAGTACGCCGTGTTCATAGGCTCTTATGTTTCCTTGGACAGTATCAATATGGCGGAGACGGCGAAAAGTCACAGTTCCAGCATTCAGTCCAAAAATCATCGAGAATTTTGTAGAGGTGTTTTCTGAACAAAGCGAGATACTGGTTAAGAGACTGGAGCCAAGAGTCGGAACAGGCCAGTTCAGCATATGGCCATATCTTAGCAGTTATACTTTGGACTCTGTCAGTGGTAAGTAGAGCTCGTATATTATTGCCTAAGTATTTTATAATCCAGATTGTATCATGCATATTATCATGTGCTATATACATATGTGTGTATATTATTTTAGGTACAAAACGTTCATGTGTTACATTACAAACAAAACGTAGTATAGTAAAGTAGCATAGTCATATATATATGACTATGCTACTTAAAATGAATTCGGTCTCGATGGAATGGAATCGGTATTTAAAAATGTAGAATGTTTTTTTTTTCATATTTGGTCGGTTGAAATCCCAGATGAGGCAAGCATCTTTTCAAAGTTTTTCCAAGGCAGTATTATTTTTAATAATAAAATAATGTCTCCATGAAGTAAAATATCACAATGTTTAAAGTACTTTCTATCCGTATGCCATAGTCGTGAGGCGCCCTGTATATTGTTGCATGTGACTAAATATAATGATTATTGTTATATCTCTCTTATTGTTTCAATCCGTGTCCGCAATTAAAACGAAACACAGAATCAACAGTGCCGGTGTAGGAAGAAAAATAGCTTTAATTATTATTTATAATTGCAACTTGCTTTTGTTTAAAAAAGCACAAATCAATTATATGACATTTATAGTTCTTAGTGGTTGAGTAAAAACATAAATACTGTGCTAAGTGATGCTACAGTTGTGTTTATACATTGAACCGCCTGTTTTTCATGTTAATGTCTAATGGTTATAATATTACTATACTATTTTCTGGATGGAGAAGGAAATGTCCCGAAGAAAGCCCGCTACATTGGGTTATAAGGACTTGTTAACATAAACAAATTTAATAAAGCTTTTGGCATTACAAAAAGGTATTTAGATACCATGAAAACAATGATATCAATTTTTTTATGATATCAAGTGACGGGACGAACAAGTCATGCGCCTAGTGGTAACAGATACACCTGTCACCTGGCCACGCAGAACTTTAAATCGCAATGATCTAAGCGGCGCTGCCACTGCACCCATCACCTTGAGACGTAAGTTGACAAGCCCTATGTGTCTGTAATTTTACCAGCACCCTTACCAGTCAAAACCGGAACGCAGTAATGCTCACATTACTGGTTGGCGGCAAAAATTAAGGTGGCAGTACTTCCCTGGACAAGCTTTTTCACAAGGAGCACTACTGCTACTAAAATAAATCTGGTTCTTGTCTGATTCTTGTCTACAGTCTAGTTGAGGGCCTGAAGCGAGGAAACGCGTGGGACACGTGAGTTGCCCTTTAAGTTGGAAGCTATGTCATGTAATGTCCGAACATTGTCGTAGAACACTGCGACTGGCATCTCCGGCACTAGCCCGAAGAACTAGTCTAAATTACTAACAAACTATCCTCCTTCCTCCTTCCTTCTTCTTTCGATCCTTGAAAAACGTGTGAAGTCCAAAATCATGAAGTCCAGATTTCATGTGAGAACAACGTGGCGGACAGGAGATCCGTGTTTAGCAGTGGAACATATAACGAGTTGACAATGATGAGAATTTGTCATGTGTGTTCGCAGGCCGCCTACGTCTACTGAAACGGTTTAAACGAAGAGCATAAATAGCTCTAACCCAAAAAATATGTCTTTGTTTCATGGTATATAATTTACACTTGAAATCGTAACATTGATTAAAATTTGCTACTCATTCGTAAGGTTGCGCTTTTTAAAACATTCCTTACATATTAATCATTCACAATATTTTTTTTTCAAATATAGATCGTAACTAAGAGTTACAAGAGCTAATCAGGTCACTATCAAACAATTTTTGTCATCCAAGTACGCAGAAGTATATAAATATAAAGTTTTTGTTTGACTACTGTTTTATATATAAAAAAAATGACAAAATTTGAAATATCAACCGGAATCTTATTATAGAATTATGGCCGTCGACATTACCGCAAAGCAAAACTGTGAAATTATCTGAACTAAATAAACCACGGTTTCAACATCTGAAAGTTTCGTATTTTTTTGATCGCGTACACTGTAAAGCTGAGGTGTAGATAATTTATGGATCCCATTTTAATTTAGCGTCTGAAATTATACCTAAAATTACAATTGTATTATACAAGGTTCTATAATGTTTATGGCAGTCTGTCTAACATGGGTAACGTAAATTTTTGCAATTTAGTTTCTTATTCGAAATTGTTTGGTCACATCGTCATAGAAACATTGATACCTTTTAACTTTAAGTAATATAAGTAAATAAAGATTCCCTAATCGACTATCTAAATTCTCTTTCACCAAGCAAATAGGTATAATGCAATGTCTCTCACAGAAACAGCAATGGGCGTAAAATTGCACGCACAAGAAAACCCGAATTCCCTGTTTCTGCAAGCAATTAACAAATTGTTACATTTGGTGAGCGAGAGGTTTTTCTGCTTGTGGTTGCAACCCAACTGGTTGTATAAGTTTATGCCTCAGTACGCGACGCACGAGAAGAATAAAAACATTATGCATGAGTTCGTAGATCAGGTGAGACATCATTAACAAATAGCACTAGATCTATTCTATAGCAATAGTCGAACGTTAAAGATACGATCTAGTTCTGTTTGTTATAGATACGCTATCTTGTTTAATATTCAGTTATGAATTTTAAATTGTGATTGAAAAGAACTAACAAGTATTATATAGACGCAAACATGCAAACCATTGGTTCGTTCAGCTTTACACTTACTTATTTTGTGTTGTTTATTCTTGAAACAAGTCCGCAAAATCCTTATCTTATAAAATATCATCACGACGATAAAAGAGCATATTGGTTTAAAACCCTTACAAGACATGTGCAATCTCCAACCCGCATTGGTCTAGCATGGCGGACAAAGGCTCTTAGAGGAAATGTGTAAAAAAGCAGTGGGATATGCGGGAATATGGTTTTCTATGTAATAATGGTAACTTATTTTCAAGGTAATCACGAAAAAACGTGAAGAAATTAAGACAAAACATGAAAGCAAATCGGAATCAGAGAACAAAAAAGATTTTGGTAAGTATTCTTAGGCTTAAATAAAGCAATAAATTTCAATCAAATGTAGCGATTACATAATAATTTTTTTTAAATAAAAATTACATAAAAAATTTTTTTTCGTTTTGCACATAGCTCTGCACTAGGAAAACCCTGCGTCGCGGATACGGTGGACACTCAAATAGACAATCACAAATTACACCCAAACTCACGAGGGAAATAAATGTAGGCCATACAGGTATTTCTCCCGGTCCATGAATCGAACCCGGGACCTCTGGGTGGCAGACCAGCATTGTAACCATACGGACACGGTCCACTTAAAAAGAAAATCATTTCTTCGTAAATATAAACAAAATTACATGCAAGGTTAACACATTCTTTTAAGTAATTGACACTTGTGTCGTAAATTAACCTCTATTTCCGAATAATTCGTTCCTGTAAAGTTATTTTGAACATTAAAAAGTTAATGGTATTTTATTCGCACAGATTTACGAAGTTGACACTTTATTAAATATAAATACGAATCGGAAATATTCCTGTGCATTATACTGGTTCTTCGTATCTTCGATTCAGTACGTATCAGTATTATTTTACGTAGAAAAACATACAAGATATTGTCTTGGTAATTAGAGAAGTTGCAATTAATTAATGCAAACTTTTTTGAACTACACAATATGATGACACCACAGGACGCGAGAGAGTGTGAAAGCACGTGTGTGCGGTGAAACCTACACTTTAATTTGGATACGCTACACTCCTCCCCCCCTAACATAATACAACTACAACAATATTGTACTGAAATATTCTATATAAGTATAAAAAACAAATTGTTTTAACTCTCGACCTGGAAAAGAAAAAAAAAGAAGGCCCTGTCTCTTGACATCATGCATTGCATACATCTTCCGAGAAATTACATTACACTAGAGATTCTTTTCACCAGTGTTACAGGCATGTTCTTCCTTTTTGTTTTGATATTGAATTAGGTCTATACTTTTTCAAGTAGAAATCAATAAAGTAAAGGATATTGAATCCATTTAACTAGAACGCTTACAAAGTCAAGGTCATTAAAACAGGATCTAAGAATAATTCTCAAAATTGTATTGTAAAAAGTAGGTAAATTGTAATAGTATGGTTTTATTATTTAGCATAACTTTTGAGTGAAAGTTGTTACTTTCCTTGTTGTTGTTAAAGTATAATTAAACATAATTGCCAGTAAGAAAGTAGACTTGTGACCAGCAGGCACGATGCCGTGGGTGACAATGTTTTATGTGTTCCAATTATATTTCATATTTAAAAAATATAAGAAGGAAAACAGTAGGCACTTAAAGTGTGATTTGTAGAATTTGGATTTGTATTAAGATGAGAATTGTAATAAAGTATAAATTTGAATATATTTTCACAGATTTTGACAGTTACAAAAGGAACTCATTCTTAGATTTGTTAATAACTCTTTCTGGCGGAGAGAAAGGGTTCACAAACGTAGAACTAAGAGAGGAAGTTCTTACACTCACTGTAGCTGGTACAGATACATCGGCCGTCTCTATAGGGTACACGCTCGTGCTACTGGGAAAGTACCCTGAGATTCAGGAGAAAGTTCATCAAGAGTAAGTAATGAATAAATATCAGTAGAAAGATACTTACTACTACGGTTTAATTAAAATTTTAGAACTGGTGCCACGGTCATGTTCCCACCAACGCACCTAACGTTAAAGGATTAAAACCCACATCATTGTTGCCTGACATTGTACTTTCCGACAGTATTTCCTTTCGCTATGACATTTGGTTCTTTAAAAAGCGTGTCAACGCTCTCAAAGAATGACATAGGTAGGGCCTCTAATGTTGCATATGTCCATGGGCGATGATGACTATGTCCCATCAAGTGGCTAATCTGCACGTTTGCCTAAAATTTTTACATAAAAAGAAGTTAGAGATATTTTATTTTCTAAGTTCACATGCATACTTTGACTTTCTATATAAAGTAATGAAACAGCACAACTGAGTGCCCACGTTATGTGAACTTCATGGTAAAAATAAAAAAAACTTAAAAACTCGAAATACGCTTTCAAATTGTTATTACATGCATTCGGGACAATTCACGTAGGAAGATTCCACGGTTACCTAATTTTCCATTTTCCAAATTTTCTAACGAGTTTTCCAAAACCAATTATCTCAATTTGTTAAGCTGATCCGCTACAAAACTTGAATATACCACAAAGAAACAATTTTCCAACTTCATAGCCAATCACCACGAATTGACTAGGTTATCATTATAAAGTCAACATAATATTGTATATGTAGTCTGCAACAGTAATTACCGATCACTTTGAATATCAAGTATAAACTGTAAATCAAGGGTACATTTTAATTCTTTAAGTATTTCGCAAAGATTTTATAAGAGGAAAATGTGATAAAATAACCAAGAAGTTCTTTTTCACATTTCCTTTGGAGTTTCAACAGAGCATTGGTAAAAAAAGATAGACATTAATATAAAATCGACACACGTGTTGTGTATATATAACATATAGGTACTACGACTACAATTACTGCACCCTTTTGTAATCAAGTATAAACTGTAAATCTAAAGCATAATCTAATTCATTAATCAGTTTTCAAAGTTCCTTGGTTATTTTGCCACGTTTCCCTTGATTTCGCTTCTGTTTTCAACATAGGATATCTTTTACAGATTATGCGACGTTTTCGGTGATTCAGATAGACCATTGGTAAAAGAAGATATTTCGAAATTGAAATATTTGGAAAGAGTTGTTAAGGAGTCGCTTAGGTTGTATCCTCCGGTGCCTTTCATTGCTAGGAAAGTTTTGAAAGATATTAAACTGTGTAAGTAAAAAAAGTCATAAAATATTTATTCTTTTGATTCATAGGCTCGGGGCTGCGTTTACTATTACTACGTTTATTATTTATATTACATTTGCATAGTATGTCATTTCTGAAGTGGGAGAAATAGCCTGTAGCGCTTGCAAGCAGCTAGTGATTGCAGTCGTTAATATTGTGTCGACTATCGACAGTATGTTGATTATATTTATGCAATAAATTGCCGAATTTGCTTCATTTTAATCACATTGGTCTATTATTCGTCCAACTGCTGGGCACAGGTTCATATGTTAATACATACACAACATCTATAATATAATAGACTAGACATCTTGTATATACAAGAGGAGACATATTTAGTATAGATAATCAAATGCGCATGTCTTTATTGAAATATATATGAATAAACCTTGCTTTAGATACTGATAGGTCAACTGACAAAATAGAAATAAAGAAAGATAAAACTGTCGACAACAACTACATGACTATTTAAAATTTGACGTAAACTGGCAATCCTGCAAATACTATAAATTCTCTTTTGTTTTAATTACATTTTCTCATACTCTACACTCTCTAAAAATAGTCAATGAAGTACTTTTATATTCTTCAGTTTTTATTTATCAGTTCTGCTTTCATGAGCCTATTGTTAAACAGTTTTTTTTATTGAAAATATACATATTCATGAAAATTATGACTTTTCAGCCTCTGGTTACGTCCTCCCTGCTGGATCAGGAATAATAGTGTCCATCTGGGGAATCCATAGGGATCCCAAATACTGGGGTCCAGACGCTGAAAAGTTCGATCCTGACCGCTTCTTGCCAGAACGATTCAACTTTGAACATTCTTGCAGTTTTATGCCGTTTAGTAACGGTCCCAGAAACTGTGTTGGTAAGGAAAACAATCATTTTGGTTTACGCAGTAATTCTGCAATTACTCTGAAGATTTTTTGTACGAAATTGAACGTTGAATCATTAACTTTATCGTTGATATAAAAAATTTTACTCAATTTAAGTACAACAGTTTAAGTACGTGGTGACGTGCTGGTGCTCGTACTGGTACGGTGGATGGTGATCCAACTACATTTAATATATAATATAAACTCTTACTTGACCCTTGGTAATAATCTAATGATTCTTCTACTTTAACAACATCGTAGTTGAAATTATTATAGTACTATTGTATTAATTTAGTGCCGTAAGAAATTGATATACTAAATTGTGAATCATAATCTCCAAAGATGCCCAAAATCTAAACTAAGGGACCTCATCGTCACTTTTCATCAGGTGAGATGGAGGTCAAACGCGCACTTACATTTGTATAAAAAAATACAAAATTTCCTATAATACAATAGTTACAATAAAAGACTATGTTTTAAATATCAAAAATATTTTTTGAGCCGTCATTTTGTCGTGTCCATTATCTCGGACTTGAATGTTTTCTTGTCTCCGTTGTAAAATTGTAAAAAATGAGAACCTCTTTTTCCAATTCCGTTAACAAGAAAAGGTTTAGCACACCTGCATTCTTACTTTGACAATAACATTTATGACATTTCTTTGTTTACTTTTTGGACAACTAATTAGTTATGGTTCATACTATATTCATGTTTTGTTTAAAAAAACAGGAAAAAGAAATTAACCTTTTACTCATCTAGCTAACTACGTCCAAACCAATATGAAAGTATAAAGTATCATATTGGTTTGGATGTACAGGTTCCTATATTTAATAACGGCTAGGTTTTAATTTTATTTTAGGTTACCAATACGCTCTAATGTCTATGAAGATAGCATTGTCTACAATTCTACGGAGGTATCGAATAGTGGGTAAAGAGGGAACCCTTCGAAATCCTTTTATCAAAGTGAAACTCCAAATAATGATGAAGGCCGTTGATGACTACCAAGTCGCCTTAGAAAGAAGAGTGCCAAAGACTTCAGATTGCAATGCACGCGGCTCTTAAGATACCGTAGTAACATTGAAAGGCTTTTATCATAGAGGATAGAATACCATTGGTTGATTATTATCGTACGGCAGATTTTATATAAATTTATTAGTAGTCGAAGTTTTGTTTTGCATTTGCATTTGATAATTTGATACAAAAACTGTTATCAAAGAATTAGACCCGTTAAATAAATTAATGTTGTTATCGTGTACTTTTAAAATTGTATGTCTATAATGCTCTTCAATTTTGTAATATTAAATGTAATAATAGAACAAAATCGAAATTTTAAACGGAATGGTAAATGACTAATGCACGAACTATCCTGGCGATGGTCATATAAATCTATACATTTAGATTAATAAATACGCTTTAGTAATAAATATGTTTAAGTATAAAAATAATGGTTTTTATAAATTCTTTCCTCAATATCTACCACTTTCTAAGTATGTTTCACAATATAAATGCAAGATTACAGTACATGCACGTATTAATTAATTTCATTCTGTACCTTCAGTGAAGAGTCAGAGACTAGTGTTAATGAAAAAATGGTTCAAAAATTTAATATTTTGAATGCTCATCATTTTTAAACGACATCAAAAAAGGAGGACGTTCTCAAATCGACTGTATTTTTTATGTGTGTATGTTACGCGATTACTTTTGGCATTTGTGAACCTGAATTTTAATGATTCTTTCTTTGTTGGATATAGGGTATCTCAGTAAGGTCCCATTTAAATTTGAAGAAAATATTCCACCAACATAAAAGTAAGTAAGTAAAACATAAAAGTGACAAACTAGGGGATGAATCCGGTTTTGCGCACTTTCCGGTAACCGATTTCTTTATAAAAGAGTTATTATTATTTTTGTTGTGGAATGGAGGAATAATTACTTTTCCTAGAACTAAATTTCAATGTCAATAGAACGGTTTATCAATAATTTCATTTAACTTTGCACATTCTCAACGGGAAAGCATAAAAGCTAATTGTAATTTGTCATTAAAACGTGCTAGTTTTAGGCGATTTACAACAACTTGCATCAATTTACACAGAGGGAAAGCGCGTTAGTGACTTCGTGAATAATAATTTTAAAATAAATGGAATTATTATATATATACATATATATATATATATATAGATTTCAGTCGTCTTTTTATTAAGATCATTACAAGAAATCATACACATGCATATGGATTAAATAATATGATTGAAGTTATATTTCTTTACACTTAGAATGTAGGTATGAAATACGAAATTGAATATGTGCAAGTCAACGTCAAATAATAGATGATCAAACGAACTTCTTGAAGTGAAGTTTGCATCACTATTATGTGAGTCACTTCATTCGAAGATATAATATTTAACCAGGTAGTTTCCTTAACTTCCTAGGCAACACTGCACGCTTTTTAGAGAAAAAAAAGTTTTGACGTTGACTTTCTTTACCAGGCATCAACCACCATTTTCTATCCCCATTCCTTTTTGAGTGGGAAGCAAAACTAATTTGGGAGTTTCAGAATCTTTACTTCTGATATGACGATTGTCAAGGGAGGGAGGGTGTTGATTATATCTTCGAATGAAGCGATTCACATAATAGTGATCGAACTTCACTTCAAGAAGTTCGTTTGATCATCTAATATATTTCGTCGCTTCATTCTCGATATAATATTTAACCAGGTAGAGTTTTAGAGTATTCAGTTTAGCTTCTAGTTGATTTTATGTAAATAAAAAAAATCGAGTTAGTACACTTTCCACGGAGTGCACAGAATTGATCAGAGTTGAACTCCGGTGTATTATCGCGTACTTTTAAAAAAAAGTCAATTATGCACAATTTTAGATCTTTTTCATTATTAACAGCAACATCTAAACTATTTTTTTTTCTCTATAACTAATAACTAACTATTATTATATAGCAATGGTGTTTCCAGAGCACCATTGTTACATAATATACAGGTTGTCTCACGGGGCTATTCGGAGGGAAAGTACTTTAATTAATGTAGATAGGGTGTTCGTAAATAAAATAATATTATGCATCGTAAATTTAACTTAATAACATGTTACACACAGTCAAGTTTTTAAGTACTTTTTTGTTGTCGGTTAAAATGATAAAACCTATTAGCTACTGTGCGTCCTGCGCATTTATTACGTTCCGCAAATTGTAGGCTATACAGAGATTCCACGTTATTTTTAGTTTCATTGTCGTTTTGCTGCTTTGTAATTTATTTTTAATGTACAGTAATCATTTTTGTATGTATTATATTAATTATTTATGTTAATTAAATATAACTAGTAACTACGTGTCCGGACTCCGGACGCGTATTGTGCTTGTGTGTACATTCAGACTGGTTTTGTATTTATGACTTTTAAGAAAATCACCCATATTTGTACGCGAGCGCGTGTATCTGTGTTAGTGTGTGTGCGTGAGTGTGTGTATGTGTGAAATAGAAGTACACATAAACAAAGTTTAAAGGCACAAGTGGTGTTGGAAGGTACAGCTCCCATACCTTTTCTATACAAATAAGTTTACTTTATAGTGCCCCTCCCTATCAACCTCTTGGTTTTACTACGGGAAGGCCACAATAACCTGTGCAAGCAAGCCCGCACCTACTTAGTCTGGTCCTGACCCAAATCAGCCCGTTTGCACGGACTTTTTCTGGTTTTCCGTACAGCACACTCCCTATTTTCTAGATAGGTACCGAAGCTGTTAGTAGGTACAATAGAACCTGTATGTATCTCTAAATAGCTTGAATACATTATAAAACAAATAAATGCCATTGGTTTAAATGTACACTAAACTCGTCGCCGTGACTGAATAAAAAATGAGACAATAACTTAAACCTTTTATTGCGTATTCAAAACATTGTGTTTTATTGTACATAACTGATTCCTCCCGAAGCATTTACCGATGTCGGTCACGATGGATTTTTCAAGAAGTCCCTTATGGTAATACGAACATTTATCATCGAAGACACGCAAAACAGCATTTTTAGAAAAGTGGGTTACAAGTAACTTCTGTCAAACTTCACAATCGCCACACGAAAATTGAATTGCGGTAATTTGATTTGTTTAGACGCTTACGAACTGTTAGTTAAATAATCGCTGAATTGTGTAGAGAAAAATATCCAATGTTAGATAATAAGCCTCGAGATTAGTAAAGTGAGCGACTACAACGAGATTCATTTGCATATGTCTACCCCGGCGTAACATTCCGATTCATAATGCGATGTTAAAAATGTAACCTATTTCAGGGTCAGGGACAAAAGTCATTTATAAATGTTTCTTTCAACCATTTGGCTGTCTGACGATATAAATAGAAAGCTGTGATTAGTTTTCACGAAAATGCATTCTCGTTACGTGGCTTTTTACGGAAAGCGTGAGCGTCACGGAATCCCGGCTATAAATCACTCCCGTTGCTTTAGCTTTGATGCTTGCAATGTGCGCCGGTTAGTAGAGGGCGGGAAGGCATCAGGGGTAGACGCTCGCCCCGCAAAAGTGCTACGAACCATCTACGAACAAAAATTACGATTGCTATGATGAGCTGACATGCGATTGTTCACGTGTTTTCGATTCATCCACTCACCAAATGACGAATCACATCCAGCTGATATGACGACTCTAACGTTAGTTTGTTTGGTACATAAGTGTTGTTAACAAAATTTTATGTCATGTTAGTAAAGTTATGAAATGTTATAGAGAAACATGGAGGACGGCTTCGCTAGCGACGAGCCTTTTGTTTACCGACTGAATGACAACGGATCGGGGCCTAGCCTTCTTGTCAAGGTAAGAAATGAACTTACACTTTTGAACATCAAACCGCAAAACTTTTCCACGACTCGTAATTTCTTTATATTTGGAAACAGATTTTAAAAAATCGTTTTCTTTAATACATATTAATCAGTTGTAATTACGTATTTTTGATAATAATTGTAAGTATTTAAAATTTTTATTGAATTGATATTCAATTATTTTTTGTGAAATTACTCCAAGAAGACGTCGAAGACGTATACGTAGAAGACGTCGGTTCGAATCCGGCCGGATCGAAGGAATTTTTTCTGAGTGTTCGATCTTTGTATTAAAAATTGTAAGTATTGTTCAAGGTTTGCGCAGAGCGAGGATGGCGAGTGTACCAGGGTTACAATACCGGAGAGGAGAATAAATGGAATCTTTGGTGGCGGACAAGCGCGTTCCCTGCTGCTTGTTACAAGGCTCTAGGAGACTGGCAGGTTAAAAAGTTTTAGAACTTTGATGTTGGTTTTCAGTAGCCCGTTCTAATTGCGTATGTTTAAGATTAGCTTGAATCGCTTTATCGGTATTGTTAGTAAATATTTAATTTTTTATACGTGTGTGTAAAAACTAATGTGTAAATTATCATTTCTACGCCATGTAACTGATGCTAAAAAATGTATTTAAAGAGATTTTGCAGAACCTTCTAAGAAAACATAGGATGATATTTACTTAAATGTGAGTGAATTGAGTAAATAAAGGACGAGTTTCCAGAAAGATCTAATTAACATATTTCTAAATAAAATTATATTCTATTCTTTTGATAATAAAATAATACGAATATATTAATCGGATACAAAACTCGCTTTGTCATCTCAATAATGTGAATTGCGGCGTAACAAAAATTCTATTCTTTTGTCAGAATTACGGCTACAAAATCGAATCACAAGTAAAGTTATTGAATGAATTCGTGTCCTAAATACGTATTAGCATCCTGCGTGACGCGAGGAGCGTTATCTGCCATTCACCGAACTACTTGGTACTTGGGGTGGATTCGATATAATTATAATATTGATGGGGAATTTCAGAATCGTATTCATAGAATTTGTTTCAGAAAAATAAAGTATTATAGATTATTTGCAATGTAAAATATCGACCTAACGAGTAAAACATGTGATTAAGTAATTTAATTCGTAGAATATTTAAGCCTCTCTTCGGAAAACTTGTAATTTTGCAGATTACAGATTAAAGGGTGCGAAATAATTATAATAATATAAATGTGCGAAATATTCATAACAATTACCTGGACTCGAACTAGGAGTTCCCTGTTTTTTTTTGTGATCCTAAGTGATGAGATGAATAAGTCGTACACCTGATGGTAAGCAACACGCCTGTCCATAACATTTGCAGTACCACTCAGAGCTTTAAATCTCAAAGATCTGAGTGGCGGGCCACTGTGCCCGTCACCTTGAGCCATAGGTTGAAAAGTCTCATTCTTATCCTTAAAAACTGGAACGCAGTAATGCTCACATTACTGCTTGGCGGCAGAAATAGGTAGGGTTGCAATACTTTCCTGGACGAACTCTACAACACGGAGCTCTACTGCTACTAAAGTCTATACCAGAAAAAATTATTATAACCGACAATTTAGGAAATTTATTAAATTTGTCAAAAAAAATCGAACCTGGCACCTCCCTTATATGAAGCGCTAAATCGTTTTTTATAAATTGAATAAAAATATTTTTTATTTACAGTTTATGAACCACATTCCCAAGGGAGGCTCCATATGTCGCAAAGACAATTTATCCCGGCTCTTGCGGTGTATGCGACGTATCTACGGATCTATTTACGATTTTAGGTAAATATTGTATCGATGTATCTCATAACGTGTGCGTAAAAGTCCGCTTTGTTGTTTTCAACGCGTTTTGTTCTGTTCTGTGTTAAAGATGTAATCTGAAAATATACTAAAGGTATGAAACCTTTAGTATATTTTCAGATTACATCTGGGGGAGGTTTGTTATCTATTGTGAGGCAATTTAACTGTTTTCAAACCTACTTCAAAAGAGGAGGAGGTTCTCAAGTCGCCTGTGATTTTTTCTTTTTATGTATGTTACGCAATAACTCTTGTGAAACGATTTTGATGATTCTATTTTTGTTGGAAAGAGGGTACCCAGTAGTGGTCCCATTTCAATTTGAAGAAAATATTCCACCTCTAACGGCGGCAAGCTAGGGCCTGTTTCGCACACTTTCCGGTACCCGATTTCAATAAAACTTGCCAAATAGATGTGATTCCACGAACTTTAAAGGCCAGTTTTTTAGTAATCTGTACTGGGATTATTTGTGTGTACGTTACACGATTACTCCGACATTTGTTAACCGATCGATGATTCTTTTTGTGTTAGGATGGGCGTGCCACAGTAGTGCTCCCATTCTCATTTGAACAAAATATTATAAATATCTAGAGGTGGCAAATTAGGCGACGAATCTAGTCCTTCCAACCGATTTCAATAAAAGTTGGCACGTTAATGTAATTCTAATGAAAATAAAATGTTATGGTGACCTAGAGCTAATCTAATGATGGAAATGGCAGATGAGAAAATTCTCAACAGTGTACAGCAACTACCTTGTGTTTGGGGTCATTCGATTCGGTTTGATGAGACAATTCATATGCGTTTAGGTTATCGTTAAAGAGATTTTGATGTCGGTGTTTATTAAAAAGTTATAATGATAATTATTAATACAAAGATCGAACACTTAGAAAATATGCTTCGATCCGACCGGATTCAAACCGACGTCTTCTAGCAAACCGCGCCAGACGCTATGCCGACTAAGACACGGAACGAACCAGCGGACCTCAAGAATTTTTCTATATGCTTGGTTCTAGGATCTTTAGGTTTGGTTTTTTAACGACTTTTTAGCCGTAGCGCCATCTATGAGAAATCTATGAAAGATTTTCGTCACTCAGATATCTTTACAGCTACCAACTAGAGATGTCGCCATTAACTTTTATTAAATTTTGTATTAATAATTATAACAAACTAGTGGAGTGATTTCACAAAAAATAATTGAATATGAATTCAATACAAATTTAGTACTAAGACGAAATAAGGAATCTCATCTGCTTTAGGTTCTTTATCAAGCACACTTTGCGATAATGATGAATTTAAGAATAACTACCATTATTTTTGAAACAGTTCTAATCTTTTTTTATCATAGTGTATAAATCGACACACTAATAATTAATTTACTATTGAAGCTTCTTGAATTGTCTGATTGTTTAATTGTTGGAATATAAAATAAAAATTTCATGTTTCACATTTTTTTATGGTACCACGTCCATGGTAAATCGCAAAGATTTCACTACACTGCCACTATGACTGTCACCTTGAGACACAAGTTGGCAAGTTCCACGTGCCTATAATTTAATTTTGTACCTCACACCATTATGCATATAATTCGAATTCGGTTGTTAAATAGTAACATTGCTCTTATTTAACTAAAGTAATCGACATTATTAGCGAAAACGAGTTATTATGCATTATATGTCTTGTATCAGCGAAACAAGATCGACATTCCCCTAAAAGCGCTTTTATGTTTTATTAACTTTCATTTTTATTTACCGAGTTCTTAGGTTTTCGCGATTGTTACACAAAGGAATGAAACTATTTTTGCAGATTTAAATCGCTTATATTTGTTTTTCAAGCAAACCAACGTTTCGGCCCCTTTACAAGTCCCATGTACCAATCAACCGTGACCATGGGACCGTAAACGGCCCAAAACGTAGGTTTGTTTACAATTAAATTCTATCTAGAATTTCGTTGTTTCAAAACAAGTTGGGAATTCGCAGTAAGATCGGTCTGTTGGCACAATATTTGGTCTTCAGGCATGCTAGCATTTCTTGTTCTGGTGTTATGAAGAACATAAGCTGTTCGAAAAATTACCAATATATTATACTTTTTCTGTTTTTTGTTCTTTATTCACTTAGGTACGTATACTTCGTTTCGTGCGTTTCAGAAATTCAATCTTTTCTAACCGGAAATAATTTCACCGACCGATTTACAGGCAAATCGTTGTTAACAGTTTACCGCAATTAGGTTAAAGCACACAAGGTCAAACGTTCAAATGCGAGGAAAGGACGAATATCATTTACTTTTTTACAATTTGAATGAAACAAAAGAAAAAAGTCACGCAAATGAATTCTAATTGGGTCGTAAATTTTAAAACCCTGGGGTGGCTTAACTTTTCCGCGTGACTTTCTTCTTCGAGTGATCGAATTCAAACTGATTACTATTTCAGCTTTAATACATTTTAATTTAGCATTGGCTAAACTCTTGTATTCAACAGCAACGTATTTGGAAGGCGAATCTTTATTATAACAACCTTTGACTTCTTGTTATGTTTGAAATTTATGTATTTTGCATGTCAAATAAAACCTATTTTATTTCTTATTTTTTTTATTTTTTACTTTACTATACGTATAGTAAAGTAATATATATATATATATATATATATATATATATATATATATAAAGTTAATTACAAGATTTGGCAGTGTTTGGAGATTTATTTCTTTCAACTTTGTCTTGAACGATGAATCAAACATAATTTGAATTGTAATATAGGTTAAATAGGTTAGGCCAGTGTTTCTCCCGGCCCGGGAATCGAACCTGGCACCTCTGTGTGGCAGTCCGGCATGGTATCCGTTCGGCCACGGAAGCAGTTGGCCCGTGTGGGTACTACAGCCCAAGCCCTCGCATTGTGGAAGGAGGCTTGGGCCCAGCAGTGGGACTATTATTATAGGCTAACTATTATCTCCATTGGTTTGGTTATAATTGTTAATACAAAGAGAAAATCCTTCGATCTGACTGGGTTCAACCTGCGTCTGTACCTATGCCAAACTGGGTTCCCAGTTTGGCATATAGATGCAGGTTCAAGTCTTGAATGTCTTAATTAGTACATTTATTTACATAAAATGTAAATGCTTTTTAACTAGTTGAAACCGGTGTTTATCTAAAGTTTGCTGATTGCTACAACCGTTTACTTATGTGTTGTACCTATAGACTGTTTGTAATTTTATCTAAAATAATAATGAACCGACATCAAAAAGGAGGAGGTTTTCAATTCGACTGTATTTTTTTTTTGTGTGTTTGTTACGCGATTACTTCGGCATTTGTGAACCCATTTTCACGATTCTTTTTTCTTGGATACCTCAGTAAGGTCTCATTTAAATTTAAGAAAAATATTCCACCTTTAAGGGTGGCAACCTAGGGGATGAATCCTGTTTCGCGCACTTTCCGGTGACCGATTTCAATAATACTTGGCAAATAAATGTAATTCCACGAACTTTTCAGGTCGGTTTTTTTATAAAAAAGTTATAAATAACGCACTAATACTCATAGCCCCGCTCTAGGGAAACCCTGTATCGCGGGTGCCATGGACACACACGTAGATGACCACGCATTACACCCAAACTCACGAGAGAAATAAATGTAGGTCATGCAAATATCTCTCCCGGCCCAGGAATCGAACGCGGGACCTCTGCCTGGCAGACCGGCATGGTAACCGTTCAGCCAGTTGAAAATTATTTATCAGTAAATTTCGTAACTCGTGACGTCATCGTTGACGTATATTTCGAGGTTTTAACGCACGAACATTAAATTAATACAAAATACCTGCTAAAGGTACATTTTCTGTTGAGCAATGACATTATTACCATTAGCAGAGACCTTGGTACAATGCACTTTCGTGACTCAGTTTTTGAACGTTTAACTTTTTGAATAAATGCAGACTATTATTGAAATAATAGGTATAGACAATGTTATTTATCGGCTGTACCCTAGTGTTCTTTTTATGTATTTTGGATGTTCCGTTTTTTATTAGCTTTTTTATAATACCAAATATAACGAACAAAATGTGCGCTTGATGGTAAGCTACACACCTGTCCATAACGCGTAATTTAAAGCGTAAAGCTCTGAGGGGTACTGCCATTGCGCCTGTCACCCTGAGACATAATTTGACAATATAGATTTTAAGACTTTCGTGGTTATTCACTAAATGATTATCACTAGTATCAGGTTTCTTACCACGGTACGACTTCTTTTTATTTTCCCGATATTTCGGAACGGTTGCACGCTCCATGGTCACGGGTTGACCGTGTCCCGTTTGCCTGTAATTTCACCAGCACCCTTACCTTTCAAAACCGGATATTACTGCTTGGTGGCACAAATAGGTAAGGTGACAGTACAGCCCTGGGGCCTTACCATGAACTCATAATACGATTCAGTTTAGGACCTAAAATGAATTGTTGTGAGACAGCGCTACATGAAGTGTATATATATCACCATCCCGCTTTTTTGTCGTTACGAACTTACATTGAACTGTAATAAGAGTTCATGGTAAGGCCCCTAGACGAATTCTTTCACAAGGAGCTCTACTGCTGCGAAAAGAATTATGTATAAATGTATTATGGATGTTCCGTTTTAAAGGTTTATTAGTTTTTTTTTTATGATACCAAGGAACGGGACGAACAAGTCATGTGCCTGGTGGTAACTCAAAACATTAAATTGCAAAGATCTGAGGAACTGGCACTGCTCCCGTCTCTACTTAAAACATAAGTAGACAAGACAATGTGCCTGTAATTTCACCAGCACCTTTTCCCTGTGAAACCGAAACACAGTAATGCTCACAACACGGAACAATAAATTAGTACACTGTTAAACTTATCAAAGTGAGTAGCACTGTCAGTTGTCAAAAACACATTTGAAGTTGTTTGTAAAACAATCTCCATTTATAAAGGCGGTTTACGCAAAACTGAAAAAACAGCACGTGGCCTACGAGGCAAAAAAGTTTGGGAGCCTCTGCGTTAGAAGCTATAAGCATCCTAGTTTTGGCACATATTTGGTGGACTTTCCTATATTCCTTTCAGTGTCCTTATAGTTGTTATGATGATAAATAACTACATTCTAAATCTGCAAAATCGCATGGTTGATTGTATTATAGACGAAATCGACGTCACAGGCGGCCATCCGAATGAAGAACGCGTTGCGTGCCGCACGACATCACTCAGTATTTGTAAATAATTAATGTTCTCGGACTTTTCTTAGTTGAATCGTTTATTTATTAATTATATGAATACTATATATAAATAGAAGCGTCGTTCGCGAACGTAAAAAAAGCTTCGTGCTTATTATTTAACTTATAATTTATTTAACTTATTCATCAAATATCTTATCGATACCTCCAATGAACACTTAGCCAATTTTTGGACCTGTTCCGTTTTTATTTTGTTTCTTTTTCTCACAAAATTTTTTTCGAATTTTGTCTTTTGTTTCTTTATTTTTTTAAATATTAGTAAATAAATATGGCTGTTTACAGAAATAACAGAAAATCACTAAAAATAAAGTTGGTGTAGTGTTCCTTGGAGGTACCGTTAAGCAAATTTGAGATACTGCCACCGATTTTTAAAGTTGCACATTACATTTTTCCATAATAGTAAGAAGTTGCTTTTTAGTACATACCGTATTAAAGCTATGATAGTAGTTTTGCTGGCCGAAAGCGGATTCGGCGCAATCTTTACTTAAATCAACGGATTCCAGCAACATTAGTACATAAAATAAAATACTTATAATTTCTAACAATAAGTTCATGATTAGTAAGGTAAGAGGCTTTATTCAAACTATGAAATTTTGCAGTTAAATTCAAAAGGCAATGTTAAAAATTTCAAGTATTTATTCAAACAACAAAGGTTGACATTAAATTATGCCCTGAATGTTAATGAATAGCTTTCACAGCAATTACAGTAAGTGGTACCGGGTTGCGTGACAATTGTGCAACTAAAACCAACCCTGACTACCAATTACCGGACTATCTACTGAATATACTACTGTCTCCTTTACATTTAAAGGAATATTGAAGGTAGAAAGAGATGAAGGATAAAATGTGCCTTCCCATAGCTCTTTCGTAACCATGAAAGTTTGAAAGGGTGAAAATAATTAACGCTCGTGTACTCAGCAACCCTGAACTGGCTTAAAGTGTTTAGAAACCTTGGCAGTTATATTCGTGTTTATAGTTATTCTTCTGAATTTTAATTACCATAAAGCTGCAAGTACTATATTTCATTCTTTGTATAATAAAATTAATTTAAAAAGCGAAATTAGCGGACCAGATAGTAAACTGAAAGGCTGACAACTACCATGCAAAACATATTAGCATAATCATAAATAAAACGAAGTACCTAACTAGCATCATTTTCGGAACAATTCCAATCTTTTTTGTAATGATGTATAAATCGACAAACTAGTAATTTAACTTACAACTGAAGTTTTTTATATTGTCATACCATAAATGTCATACAATGCATTTAATATAATCTTAGTACAGCACTAAAAAACTGACCTCAAAAGTCATTCATCCCCTACTTTGCCACGCTTAGAGGTGGAATATTTTCTTTAAATTTAAATGCGACCGCTACTGAGGTACCCTCTTTTCAACAAAAATAATGTGATAACTCGCATAACATACATAAAAAAACATACAGTCGAATTGAGAACCTCCTCTTTTTTTTAAGTCAATTCGCAAGGTGTTCGATCTGTAGCTCTGTTAGTAGAGCGGTCACACGGTACGGCACTAACGCGAGTTCGAGCCCTATCAAATCGAAAGAATGTATTTGAACTTTGTATTAATAATTATATCAAACTAGTGACGCATGGTAGTAGAACATCACGATATTCATTACAATAAATATTCTAATGTAAAATATTGTTTTCACAGTTTGATTCTAACCTTTTATTATTATCTGTTCCAGTCCACCCTGCTACCACCTTCCCTTAGAATACGCTAAGCTGGTGTCCGAATGTTCGCGACTTCGGCGCAGCGAAGATGGCAATGGCGCCAATGTAGTCTGGATACACAAACCAGTGGCTCAGAGCCAGGGACGTGGAATATTTCTCTTCAGAGTAAGTATGTACACTTCTTCAACAGGATTTATTTATTTAAAGGAAGACCAACAGCTTAAAACTAAGTTAAATAGTTATTATTATTATTTAATTTAGTTTTAAGCTGACCGAGAGCCAATTAAAGATCCTCAAGTAAAAATATAATAAAAAATCTGGGGGCATAATTTACCTAACTTATCATATAAAACATAAAAGAAAAAGAAAAACCACAGAAGTTGTAAGCCTCGACATGTGTCAAAGTGCTCACTCAGTGCTCTCATTGCCGAAATCACACTCGTATTGAACAAATCAAAAGTATTACATAAATATAATAATTATTATATAGAAAGGACGAATAACCAAAAGTGAATTATTTCTAAGATACTTAGAGGATACAAAAATCTCCGTAATAATAATAATAGTAATGGCCAATTCAAAATATTCGCCGTTCTGATAACTTAAAACTAGATCATGTGAAACGGCTCTATTTTAAAAGAGAGTAATATAGGCTACGAAGGTCTACAAGAAACAACCAAGTGACTTTAGGAATTATAATAATTGTGCAGAATTCAAGAAATTATTATTTAATTACCTGAATGTTATGACATTCTACGATATTGAAGATTTCTTATAAAATTTGCATTTCATGTATTTATACTATTTCTTTTTTAAATTAGACAAACCTTTTAAATCATTCTATTCGTCGATCATTAATTATTCTTACATTTTATTTATTGATGTATTGGTATGTTTTATTAGTAAATGGTTGCGATTAATTGGACTGCATGATTATAATGAGGTTTAAAAAATTACATGAAAATTATTTAAAAGCTATGAAAACTTTGTGTGCCGCAAAGGGGATCACAGTGATTCGAAAATTCATTCTTATAACGCCTTTATAAGCATAAAGAAATAAATTATATGATTTGAAAATATCCCCTTTCATCGTCATCCCACCTTTTTATCGCCCTTTTCTTATTACTTTTGAAATTTTGAATCGTTCTCTAGTTCCTTTTCTTCGTCATTCTACTTTGCTTCGTTCAGTCGCCACTCCATACCTTCAATCATGTAAGCCTAAGAGTGGTTACACACTGCGACTTTCAGCAGCGATGCAAACGCGATGCCGTGGCGATGCTGTCGCTAATCGTCTACCTTTACACACGCGCGCGGTTATAAACCAGCATTATATTACATATGAATACCAGGCCCTTCTGGGGTCACTTGATCACTTGCGTTTGTCTAATCTGTAGGGAGACTTTTTTTTTATAATATCAACTGACGGGACGAACAAGCCGTGCGCCTAATAAGAAGCTACACTCCTGTCTACACTCAGAGCTTATGAAATGTTTTCATATTATTGTACCTGTTTTTATACCATTGTTTTTATTATAACTGTTATAACTTTTACAATAAATAATGCGTTACGATAAGGCGTTACTTTCTATCATTATTACGTAAGACCCGCGTGACATGGTGTATCGTAACAAGTGAGATTAATCATATGCGTACTCCATTGATACATTGGACATAACTGTACAATGTTTATTCAACTATGTTACTATGCGTACAATACTTTCTCATCCTTTTTCTTATTGCAGAGTATTTGTGAAATGCGATGTGGGACAGCGGCAGTAGTTCAGCGGTATATAGAAAGACCCTTGTTGATCGCTGGGTACAAGTTCGATCTTCGATTGTACGTCTGTGTGCCTGGGTACCGACCTCTCACTGCTTATATGTACGCCGAGGGGCTGGCTAGGTTTGGTGAGCATTTTGAGACATTTTTCTATTTGGTAACTGTTTACTGACAAAGATATTCCAATTTAATATGCTTTTCAGATATAGATCTACAAAATAGAAATAAGAATATCTTTCTCTCCATTACATTTCATTGCTCATAGATTAATAAAATTCTACAATAATTTTCAGGTACGGACAAGTATACACTATCTGATATCCATAATCCATACAGACATTTAACGAATTCGTCTCTAAACAAAACGGGACCAAGATATGCAGAGTGTAAAGACAGGATAGGCAGTGGTTAGTTTTTAAAATATATATAAGAGAAAAACATTTATGCCATGGCTAACAACACACAAATCAACATTTGTACAGTTAACAAAAATAAAAGTAGGTATGTTAAAAATGTAACGAAAACAGTAAATATTAAATATAAGAATAATGTGGTGCTACTATGATAAAAAACAAACTTCAAAAATTTGTGGAATTACCAAGTTTTATTGAAATCGGGTAACGGAAAGTGGATGAAATACAATAAACCGATTAGTTCCCTAATTTGCCACCCTTTAGAGGTGAAATATTTTATTCAAATTTTAATGGGAATACTCAAACAACAAAAAAAAGAATCTTCTAAATCGGTTCACAATGTCGGAGTAATCACTATGTGAATCCAAAAAAAGCTCCTCCTTTTTTGAAGTCGGTTAAAAAGGTAGCAACTCAGACTAATGTCAGTCTGGAGACAGGCGCTGATCTTCCGACGCTTCCTCATACATCACGGCGTCGACGGATCCAAACAACTGTAATATATTACTTTCGTATGAAGTATTATTTATTACCTATCGTAATAAAATTAAAGCACGGAAGGAAGTTGTGCAGAGGAAAGTTACTTCACATAAATTAAGTTATGTGTATATTTACTACATATTATTGTACTGCTTGATGTTTACATATTCACACATAGAAAACATTTTTTTTATTTATCTCGTTTAATTAATCTCAATACATAAAATAATTACTAATAGGTTGCAAGTGGACCTTGAAGCAAGTGCGGCGAGCTCTGATAGGTAGATGGGGCGTGACTGAGTGGTTAGTATGGCAGCGCATTAGAGCATTGGTGACTTTGACTCTATTGGCACAAGCTGCTGGGACACCCCCTACAAGGAATTGCTTCGAATTCTATGGCTTTGATGTTCTTTTGGACGACTCCTTGAAACCTTGGTTGATTGAAGTAAGAGAGAGTAATTATTATTATTATACATAGGATCAAACATCGACGCATCCTGCCGCTTGTAGTATATTAGCCAATTTTTTATAAGTATTAACGACGTGCTGTGACTATAGAGTTCAAATTAAGAATAAGTTATTTTTGTGCCAAATACAAATTATATATTCAAACTATAGAAACTCAGCACATGTTACACTTACTTTTCACTTTAAGACCCCGGTGTTTTATAAGCCATATGTATTTAAAAATCTCATTTGGTAAATGAAGTTAATCTTTATTTCTATGATTAACAACATGTTTACATTGCATTTAACAAGTAAATAAATATTGTAAATTGAACTGTTCTAGGTCAACCTTTCACCGGCACTAGGGGCAGATTGCGAAGCTGACGTCATAGTGAAGCAGCCGATGCTCCATGAGTTGTTCGACTTACTAGGATTACCTATGAGGCATACCGGGCTCTCCCTTCTGCAAGGGCCCCCTGCGGCTATGCTACATAGGTTACCGTTGTTCTTATAACGCACACACTCAACATAGTTCTTATATGTTAAAAGTGTCGTACCCAAGCATTGACTTACAAATAAATGGACGACGGGTCTAATACAAAAACCACGAAAAAAATGTCCCAAGTCAACCTATTCGAAATTTAAGTTGTAATGTCATCGCAGTATCGCGCTGTCAGTCGAACAAATGAAGACTAAAGCGGAGTTTGGCGCTCTGTATACGATTGTAGCGCCTTACAAGTGCGGACACTTTTTAGCGCGGACCCGACGTCCATATAATTGTAAGTCAATGTACCAAAGGCAAAGTTTTTAATATCACGCGAAATACAGTAGTAAAAAAAATCTAAGCGAGCAATTATACTTAAGTATGATAATTGCCTACAGCATTTTCAACGGGAGAGCAGTGCAATTCCTTTTAACAAACTTGTTCCACGAACATGTGGAGTGGCATCACCAGTTACGCAAAATTGATCCTTGCTTGTGTGGTGAAACACACCTCAAGATGTAGGATCTGTCACTTGAAAAGCAATTATAAAGACTACATGCAGTGTTCACATTGCAGTTTAAAATGTGGATAGTTTAGTAGCAGTACCCAACCCAGCTGCTTATACTACCTTTGTACAACCGAATAGTTGTATATTAGCTATAGTACTTAAGTTCTTCAGTAGCATATTCAAAAGTAATTAAACAGGCGCAAGTCGTACAATAGCCATACAACGACAAATGATAGAGATAAAAAGACTAGAGATAAAGCTATTGTATATGCATTGGTTGTAAAGCAGATTTATAAATACTTTTTATAACATCGTGAGGTTTTGTAGCGGCTTTTGAAATAACAAGTGTTTTTTTTTTTAAGTGCGCATTTGACCTCCATCTCACCTGATGGAAAGTGATGATGAGGTCGACGATGTAGTATGCACACCTAAATAATGACTTTTCACTCTCGCCTTGAAAAGGTTGACATCGCCCCAAACGGAGACTGCTTTAAGTGTCAAATTTAATCGACTAACTATGGACTCTCGACAAGACTGGATGTCTTCTCCTCTAACCCTTGTATTGTTCAAGTACCTGTCCATAACTGTGCTGTCATCAGCATACCCAAAGGCACCTGGAATTAATATATCATTGATATTCAGCAGAAAGAGAGTTATTAGTGTAAGCTTCCTTTAAAACGCTTTAGGTGGTATATCGTATATTTCTAAAGCTTGTATAACACCTTGAGGTCTTGTAGAGGTCTTTTGAAGTTAGAAGTGTTTGAATGGAGTTATTAGCTTCCTTTAAAACACTTTAGGTGATATATCGTATATTTCTAAAGCTCAATTAACACCTTGAGGTCTTGTAGAGGGCTTTTGAATGGAGTTATTAGCTTCGTTTAAAACGCTTTAGGTGGTATATAGTATTTTTCGATTGGAGCTGTTAAATAGATTTTACTATAGCCTTTGGAAGGCTTTATCTACAGCAAAGAAATATATTTCTAAAATACCGCTTAGGCCGTTATATTTGAGAATTCTACAACAACTTTACTTCTAAAAACTTACAATGGCGCGTCAATTCTACAATTGTAAAACCGAAAGGACTAGCGGTGAATATTAGCGACTAAGTAGGTAAAACAGTGTTAGTAAACTCTAATAGCTGTTGTAACCGAGACGCCATTACAGTTTTTAATAAAACCAATTTTTTTAGGTTATATACATATTTTTAATATCTTTTATATGTATAAAAACCGAATCCACTTCACTATTCCTTACCCGTGACCTTAAATAAATTTCCAACAAAGTTAAAATATCTTATTTAAACTAAATTCAAACTTCAAACACTCTAATTAAATATACTTTTAACACAAAAAACTGCACATGTAGAAGACGCGTAAAAATGTTTGCTAAAAATAATAAACTGGTCCTCACACGTTTATTTTGCATATATTAAACGGAAAACTTATTTTATTATACAAACTGTTGTCATTTTTTATTTGCAATCGTATCCTCCATCACTTTGCAATTACCAAGGTCACGACTTTATGTGCAATAAAATGTGTTTTGTTTATTTTCCCAAAATATTGTTGCTGTATATCTAGTACAGCGCCGTAAACTCTAATTCAGTTGTCTTCTAAATAGAATGCGAGCGCTATAGTCGCGCTACAAGAACTTATTTTACATACTTAGGCGCATAGCTCCTTGAATTACTTAGGCGCACACTGACCACTTGCAGAGCACCTTTGTACTACATAGACGCACATTTACAGCGCGCATCTTCTTCTCTCTCCTTTGTATCTTCGTACTAACACAGATTTAACGACCATTGCAGGACCCATAGCGTATAAATCGCGTATAAAATGCTTATTTTTGGGGTACAGTGGCGCTGTAGTCGGTTATACGTTTACTGTAGAACTTATTAATGCAGCCTATGCCGTTATTGAGAACTTCTAACTGGCTAATGTACAGATTGTTATTAGAGCTTGTGTGGTAGTTAGTTAGAGCTCCTTGTGAAAGAGCTCGTCCAGGGAAGTACTGCCACCTTACCTATTTTTGCCGCCAAGCAGTAATGGTCACATTACTGTGTTCCGGTTGTGAAGGGTGGATGCTGGTAAAATTACAGGCACATAGGACTTGTCAACTTATGTCTCAGGGTGACGGGCGTAGTGGCGGCGCCCCCAGATCTTTATGATTTAAAACACTGAGTAACAATGCAACTGTTGTGGGCAGGCGTGTGGCTCACTACCAGGCGCACGACTTGTTCATCCCGTCACTTGGTATTATAAAATAAAAATATATTCTATAACTTGGTCTGTAATAAAGTGCACTAAACGCTATTGTGCAGTTAATTTTACTAGCTGTAGCCAGAGTGTTTAAAATTATTTGTGAATTTACGTCGTTTACATTAGTAATCGATCACATAAATTAATTAGACACACTTTGTTTTCTAGCTGTAGTTCCGAGGACGAAAGTGGTAGTGTTCCCCGTACTTTGCAGTCCAGGACGCCCATTGCGGCGCACAGACGAGGGACTCGCCGGCGAAGAATTATGCCGATTACTTGTGTTACCTTGCAGCCGCCTTTAACTGACAAGTTACCGGTAAAAGTGCAATAATACTCTGCCTCAACTAGCATTATCGTTGTTCGATAAAAATATTGCTAATGTTTTATTCTAGAATACATAACATACCTTCGTAGTTTCTTCTAAGAAAGAGAGATCTCGCAATTGTTTAACTGCAGTTTGTGTGTGCTTCAGGATATGACGGATAAGAATAGAGAAGTAAATAGCGGTAGAGTCTCCAAAACCTCTTCAGATATTAGGGCAGAATCCGATGTTCAGGTATTTAAAATTCAAAAAACTTTTTTATGGAATCAGAATAACATTATTATATATCTTTCTTACAAAAGCCACAATCTTTAAAAGTAACAGAGCTATATAGCAATTTGATTTGCTGTTGTAATTGCAGTTAAATATTACTTTATGAATTCTGGTTTTAGTCGTCTTCAAGTGTGGCTACGTCACCAGCTGAGCCCGTCGACGAAACTTGGCGGGGTGGATACGCTACAGCAGCCTCGCGTCGGCGGATGCAAAGTGCTTGTTCATGGGGCAATGGCGTGCGGTGGAGTCAGGCCGTCGGCAGTGTGGGGCACTGGATTCGAATATATCCACACACGTTGCCAACAGACGAACAAGTAATTTTTTTTTTTCAACTCAATTAGCCGTCGTAACCTTCGCTAGCACGATCATGGATCCGTATCTGCTAATCATAAGAGAAAGATTAATTTTATAAGGGGTTAAGTTTAGGGCGATGGAAAAGTTCATCCATTGTGAATTTTGAACTTTTAAATGGTAAGTCTATTCGTTACGCATTCCGAGGCAATGGTACATTCGGCCGGGGTCGGCGACTCACATTCAAGAATCGGTGAACGATACGAGCCGTATGTAGCAGTACCGTTTTCTGCAATGTTTGGAGAAACGTCACGCCTCACAAATCCGTTTTAAGTTTTTAGCGAGTCTGGAATTAAACCGTTGATAAGCAAATAAAATTGGTATTCAATCTATAACCATTGACGAATTTTTTGGTAGACAGAACAATGACAATCAAAAATCACAAATCACTTTTATATTACTATTGTTTTAGTTACCGATGGAAGATGTACGTGACAGTGTAGGACAAGTGTCAAAGTTCGTGAAAGCTGCACGTGAGGTGGCACGTGAGAGCGGCCGCGATACTCGCCCGCGCGACGATGCGCGAGACGCGGTTTTCGAGGCCGCACTACGCAATAAACTTGGGTACGGCTCACACTTTCAAGTGTGGTTGCCTCCTTTTTGATGTGTTCAATTATCCTAAGCAATGTAGCTAGATAAAATAAATGCTTGCTCAATATCTTGTATTTTGAATGTTTCTCTTCAACTTCTAACTGACTACTCAAACCTTGAAGCCTTCTCAGTCCCTTAACAGTTTTGTTTACAAGCTAAGATTTTAACTAACTCTGTTTTATGTTATATCCACCCTTTTTTGGTGAAAACCTTTCATTTAGTTTTATTATAAACGCCATTGAATGATAAGAACGAGAAAGCTGTAAGTGGCCTAATCACTGCGCGCCCCGTTGCCAGTACGAAAAAATAACCTTTAAGATGGTAACGCGTCACATTTGTTGATAGTACCTGGCTTTTGTGGTATAAATAAAGACAGATGACAAATACTTATTAGCAAAATAATACGCTGTAATTGTTTAACACTACAATTTCTATAATTTCATCATTACAAAATTATTAATTATTTATTGAAAAAACAAAGCAGTTTTAAGTACTGTAGAAAGTAAATCACAATAGGAACATAAATAAACACGGTAAAAATGTAAGTATGAATATAAATAAATTGACACTAAATTGCAAACATTATTAAAATTATACTAATTAAGCACGTAACTTTTTCGTACTTTTTACAACACGTGTAAATTTATTTTTACGCACACACTAATAACCCCGCACTAGGGAAACCCTGTATCGCGGGTACCATTGACACACACATAGACTACACAAATTACACCCAAACTCACGACAGAAATATTTAAGTATTTCTGTCGTAGGCCATACAAATATTTCTCCCGGCCCGGGAAGCGAACCCGAGACTTCGTTTCAATCATTATGGTCTCGTTTTAAATTGAAAACCATTGTTTCAAATTCCATTAACAGTGATTCTAATGTTCAAGATGTTATTTTATTTTAAATTTTTATTGAATTGATACTCAATTATTTTTTGTGTATTTATTCTACTAATTTGTTATAATTATTAATACAAATATCGAACACTCAAAAAAAATTCCTTCGATTCGGCCGGATTCGAACCGACGTCTTTTAGCTTACCGTGCCAGACGCTATACCAACTAAGCCACGGAACGAACCAGCGGTCCTCACGAATTTTTCTATGTGCTTGCGTAGTGTCTTTGTATTTGGTTTTTTAAACGACTTTTATTTGTTATTTTATTATACAAAAACGAACACTTAAGTAAAAGTAGAGCTCTTTTGAAAGAGTTCGTCCTGGGAAGTACCTGCCTCACCTGTTTCAGAGTTAATGTGACAATTATTGCGCTCCGGTTTTGAATGGTAAGGGTGCGGGTGAAATTACAGGTACATGGGACTTGGTAACTTATGTCTCAGGGCGACAGGTGTAGTGGCAGTGACCATAAGACCTTTGCGATTTAAAGCTCTGAGTGGCACTGCTGTTATGGATAGGCGTGTCGATTACCACCAGGTGCACGACTTGTTAATCCCGTCACATAGCATTATTAAAAAAAACATGAAACGATGAAAAATAATTGAAAATTTCTAAATCTTTTAGGCCTGGCTGACTTCAATCACATGTCGTTTACGCACTTGTGTATTTAATAAATAACCAGAAAGTCAAAATAAAACCTTTGAAATTTTTGAGTAAAAATTTAAACCATTACGAAAGTTTGTTCAAGATCGATTAACATGTAACGTCATGAAGTTTTTAGAAACTTGAAGCTACTACAAACTTCCGAAATCTGCTGTGTTTACTTTTTTTTATGTTACCAAATGATGGGACGGACAAGTTGTGCGCCTTGTGGTAAGAGACACGCCTGTCCATAACAGTCCAAAACTGCCCGTGCGGTGACGGATTAGAATACAATTCACCGCCCCTCTCTTCCCGTGGGTGTCGTAAGAGGCGACTAAGGGATATTGAGTTACCAGCTGCTCCACTGGTGGTAGGGCTTGAAAACTCGGCTGGTTAGTGACCACCGTGCGCATGATGGAAAACCCGCCAAGTGTTCGCTAGTCGAATGCGTTCCGGGATCAGTCAGCGTACAACCAGAGCCCGAGGCAACGCTGCCGCGACATTTGTGGTCTGTGGAGGCTTCCGCCGAACCAGTGCCAGGACAACTGCATTGACCCGCCGGCCAGGGAGACCCGTAGAAACGGTTGTTCCGCTGGCCGCCCGCGGTACAGTACAGGGGCCCAAGCGTGCTTAACCAGCTCGTGAGGCTGCCTCACCATACCGCGCATAATCTCGGTGTGGTTCGTCGTGCCGGTTGGTGACCGGGAGATGGGGTCCCGGCTGCCATTCCCGGGGGGTTTCGGGGGCCCTTCCGTCCGGCGGATCAGCGAAACTTGTCTATAGGCAAGTCTTTGGGGAAGACCCCGCGATTTGACCGCTTGTGTCGCGGCACTGTTTTCTCGCTTCACGCCTCTTTTTCCCTCCAACATGTTAGGGCAAAGTACAAATTTCGGCCGTACAGCGGTGCACACCCCCACCACTAAAGCGCTCTTTAAGGTGGAGTTCACGAATATTCGAGGACTCCACAGTAACATCCACGCCGTCCACCAACATCTTGAGACGGCTCGACCAGAAATGCTGTTCCTTACGGAGACGCAAATACTCTGCCCGGCTGACAGCAGCTACTTGAATTACCCTGGCTATATGCTTGAAGAGTCCTTCAAAGCGAAA